GTCTGAAGTTTCCTTAAATAAGCCATCGGATTACCCTTTATACTTAAACCTTATAGAGGAATAAATTACAAATATCTTCTTATTATCAATCCCACAGAGACGTAACCTTTACCAACAATGTTGACATGTATAATAAATGAGATTTTTAAAGTTAATGATTTCAACGAAAATTGCATTCCTCGGATTAATCGATTCTATGCATAATTTACAAATGTCAATTTTCTTCTAAAGATTATCTTTGAAATATCTGAAGAAAATTATCTGGTTCAAAGGATTAAATGATTTAAATCAAAATGTATAGTTATACATAGTTACACCATTACATGCATGATGTTGTTATATATGAATGAAAGGAAATATCAGCTGGTGTTTAATGTAATTTTAAAAACTCTTAGCTACTTTATGGCGCCCAGTTTTTATTGTTGTTGGCAGCCGGAGTGAACCATAGACCTCCGACAGGAAAACTGGCAATCATAGCCATAATTATAGAAGTCGAACACACCTTGCCACGAGCGGGTTCAAATCTCAACCTCATGTAAACCGAATATTTCTCTTTATAGGGCAATGTTATCTTGACATAATGTTTGGGCAGTTTTATCAAATGTTAAAAATATAGGGGCATGGGGTAGGGGCAACCTTAAATTTATATATCAATGACATTTTGAGAAACTTTGTTTATTTTATTGTATTTGGTATACAGAAGAGAAAGGGAAAATAAACATCATATCTGAAATATTTGTACTTAAAATCAGATAAATTGAATGTTATTCCGAATATAGCAATATAATATATAAAAAGAATTTAGTGTACCCTTTCAGAAAATCTATTGTACATATAAGACATAGACTCACAACCACTCACCCAACTACCTCCCCCTACACACATATATAAAAGGAAACGTGGGAGTTACCTCCCTCTACACACATATATTAAAGGAAACGTAGGAGTTACCTCCCCTACACACATATATAAAAAAAACCCGTAGTGGTTATCTCCCCCTACACACATATATAAAAGGAAACGTAGGGGTTACCTCCCCCTATTCATATATATATATATAAGGAAACGTAGGGGTTACCTCCCCCTACACACATATATAAAAGGAAACGTAGGGGTGACCTCCCCCTACACACATATATACAGGGAAACGTAGGGGTTACCTCCCCTATACACATATATAAAGGGAAACGTAGGGGTTACCTCCCCTACACACATATATAAAAGGAAACGTAGGGGTTACCTCCCCTATACACATATATAAAGGGAAACGTAGGGGTTACCTCCCCCTACACACATATATAAAAGGAAACGTAGGGGTAAACACAAACTTAACAGCAAACACTGCCTTCAACAATAGACATATGCTTGTGCAATTAATCAAGCTCTGAATCGTCTAAATATAAAGAAAGTTGTGAATAAAGGAATGATAAAATATCAAAGATACATGTATGCCACCTAATTTCCAGTATAAAACATTATATTGAAATGCAATGAGTCAGGTGTATTTCGGTATTAATTATGTCGTTCCTATAAATAATCCTTGTTTGTCTGATTGCTTTTCATTGATTTTTACCACAAGAGCTAGAGATTAAAAACAGTACAAAACACCATTTCTGTCTCATCTTCAGAAAATAGATTTTAATTATAAAAAAAATGGACCTTTTCACATCAAAATTTATGAATGACGCGATGATTGTATATTTGGAAAATCACCCAATCTTTCGATATCACCTGCATATATTTCTGGAATATATGTGTCATAAATGATTCGATGTTCCCGTGCGTGCAATGATCATTTAAGATTCATAAGTACGTCACGAAATATATATGTGTCATAAATGATTCGATGTTCCCGTGCGTGCAAAGATCATTTCAGATTCATAAGTACGTCACACGTGGCTTAAACGAAATACACAAAAGTGTCCGTGAAGGACCATATGATCTCAAACAGTTTATTGGTGATAATTGTTCAGTGTGACCGAAATATATTATTTATAAGTGTTGACTTTGGACTTTTAAATACCAAAAGTTGTTTAGAATGGATAAACACGTAATCACACCCTGTAACCAGCTATTACAGCAGATACAATAGAATCTGTGTTCCTGGTTGCAATTCAAAATACGTGTATTTAAGTAACAGATTTATCTATTTTACATAAAACTTGCTGTTCTTTGTCTGAAAACCATATCAAAGAAAACAATTTGAAATCCTATAAAATCCATACAATCCCTGAGATACTTATTACAACAATTAGAACACACTAAATTAATGTTTTTTTAAACTGGATATAGTCGTCTCATATAATCGGAGCTGACGCCACTCACATATGAGAAAACTATATCTAATACTTGCTTTTGTGTAGATTTTTGTCTGCTATTCCGATTGCAGTACAATGGATTATAGATCGTGTACTGGATATTGTGATCAATGTAACCCTTTATTTCGATAACTGGTAATAGGGTGTGGTACAATGTAATACCGACTTTATCTTTATATTTTTGTCATGTAAAGGCTTTGTTTGATCTGTAACAGTACTCTAATTCATTGACTGCATTTTGTAGTTTTTAGTTTAATTTTGAGAGTATGACTGTCTAATACTGAAGTTTTGTTTTTCTTTGTATTCAGTGTTAAATGAAAACATTGTGTTTTTTTCTTTTCAAAATATGAATGTTTGAGATTTTGAAAAACACTTGTGTTTTGCGTCGGGATTCATAATTGTTGTTTTTCAGTTTTAATTCTGATTGTATTGTTTTTCTGTCTGTCTGTGTTACAAAACAATATAAGTTGTTCAATTATTTACTTGATTTAAAATGTTATAAGCAAACTCATCAAAGATGCCGCGATTAAAATTTGGCACGCCAGCCGCGCGTTTTGTCTTCAAAAGTCTCGGCGGTGACGCTCGAATAAAAAAAAAATTAAAAAAGATAAATCAAGTACGAAGTTGAAGAACATTGCGGACCCAAAACTCCGAAAGGTTTTGCCAAATACAGCTTATGTATTCCTGGGGTAGAAAATTTTAAGTTATAAGTTTGCATTATTGGTTATAGCTACTACTGTAGTGTGATATCCTCGTTTGGCTGTTCGGGATGTATAAATACCAAACCACGTCCCATCTCATTTGAGGGTTCTTACGTCTGTTTTTAATGACACAGACATCCATTTTTCCCTTGCAGTCGTGCAATAGCAGATATTTCTCCTTTTATTACAGTTGTGAAAATTGTATTAGTACTAATTGTTTTTTTTTATGATTATACTTCAATCGTTTTTAGTTTTTTGGTATGCTGTGCTGTTACACCACTGTCCCAGGTTAGGGAAGGGTTCGGCACCTACTTTATGAGTTTACTTCAAGTGACTTTTACAGTTTCTTCGTATGTTGTTTTTTTTATTTTTTTTTTTTTTTTAGGGGTGGGTTATTGGACGCTTGAAACCATTTTAACCAAGCCTCATTATATACAAACCTGTCCCAAGTCAGAAGCCTGTAATTCAATTGCATCGTTGTTTGATGTTTATCATATTTGTTTTTCGTTTATTGTTTTGTATATAAATCAGTCCGTTAGTTTTCTAGTTTGAATTGCTTTTTTAATTTTTTCATGTCGGGGCTTTTGTATTATAACTATACGGAATGGGCTTTGTTCATTGTTAAGACCGATCGGTGACATATAATAGTTGCTTTAATCTGCGTCATTTTGTTACTGGTGGATAGCTGTCAATTATAACACATCTTCTTCTTATTATATTTATAAAAAAAAAACATGACCATTCCTTTCACCACAGTATAGTGTTATCTTGTCTTTGTTACGATTAGCTAATTTGTTATCTGATTTCTGTTTAAACATTAGTTAAATAACTGGTATGATGTCAGAGTCCATATTTTGATATCGTGTATGACAATAATATATTGTTACATGGATTTCAAAATCATGTCTGGAAATTATGGAAAATATTGTCTGCTCTGTTTTCAATTTCTAACAGCCACTTCAATTTTAAGAATTGGATCACATTATTGTCACCGTTAAGCTGGTTTCGCTGGTCTTTAGTTTTCTATACTGTTGATGGTGTCTCTTGGTCCTTTTTCGTTTTTGCCATGGCGTTCTCGGTTTGCCTGACTACGAGTTTCAATCTTTCGCCTCTCTTTTTCAGGAATATAACTTGATTTTACTGAATGGTGCTGATAGACTTGGATGCGTTTAGCAGAGTAATATTTTTGTTTGTTTGTTGGGGTCATGTATTGACAGTAACAAACATATAAAAGAAGTTTATTTGTTATGTATTTAATCGTTCACATGATCATTGTTTTTTCTTTGTGCCGCTTTACTGTGACAATCCCTGAATATTTTATTGAATAATTGCCTTATAAGAAATGTCTTTGTATGCATATCTTATCATCCCCCACCCCACCCCTGCAATAACTACATTTCTATAAATAAGGCTATTTGATCAGTGCAGACAACCTACATTCGTCTGCTAGTTATCCTATCTATCTTTTTAAACACTATAATTATCTTTTTATTTTTAAGATAACATATTACATCATTACATTACTTTCGGCTGGAATACTACTGTAATTCAGTGGTTGTCGTTTGTTGTTGTATATCATATTTGTTTTCCGTTTATTGTTTGGTACATCAATTAGTTTTTCTCGTTTGAACAGTTTTACATTTGTCATTTCGGGGCCTTTTATAACTTACTATTTGGTATGGGTTTTGCTCATTGTTGAAGGCCGTACCGTGACTTAGTTGTTCACGTTTTCGTCATGTGTTTTCTAGTGGAGAGTTGTCTCATTGGCAATCATACCACATCTTTTTTTATTTTATGGCTTGATTTCAGCGTTGCGTTTCTTGAATAACATTTATCATGTAAGCTCGACACAAATGCTTTGGAAGGAGTGTAAAAACGGTTGTTTTCGCGCACAACAAAAACGCTTTCATGAAACAATTTTTTCCGGATCTAGCGACAAAGTCCTCAATTTAGTAAGTTCTGCAAAAATGAAACTATGAAATAATGTTTTATTAACTTTATTTAACAATAACTTCTCTCATATATCTTTCATTCAACATATAAAAATAACAACTTTAGAATATATACACATCACAATAGTTTTATGTTTATCTACATTCCGATAACAGTATTATGTTGCTTAATTGTTATCTAATTACCGATAACAGTTTGGTGTTGTTTGTTATCTACAGAATGTAACAGTATAACGTTGATTGTGTTTTGAATACCGATAACAGTAAAACGTTGCTTGTCATCTAAAGATCGATAATAGTATAATGTTATTTGTAATCTAAAGATCGATAGTATTATAATGTTATTTGTTATCTAACGACCAATAATATTATAATGTTGCTTGTTTCTGAATCGAAATTGTCATAATGTAAATTTTATATTGTATAACATGTATTTTTGTCACTTCATGAACAATTTTGTTTGTACTCACTAACTAATGTGATTTACAAAATGAGGCCTGCTTTGACGTAATAGAATGAAAATGAACTATTTTGAAATGTGATAAAAAAATGTTAAAAACAAGCTTTTTTTCCCTATGAAACTACACGAGGACCTCGAGATCGGAACATATTGAAAGATTTTTCTGCAAGCTCTAGACACAACATATATCAATAAAATGTGAGTAGAATAAAGATATTTGTAAACACAATGAAATAGTCTAACATATTCAAATCTTAACATATGCTTTTTTATTAAATAATAATAGTTTTAGAATGTAAATTAAGTGTATCTGTACTTTGAATGAACACCCGGGTATAGTCTAAAGGAAATCATGCAGTAAAAAACACTCTTATTATACAGACTATGCAACGAGTAATAGAATGGACAGTTATTTTTCGTACTTTTCTTACAGAAAAATGGAAAAAAATAAATTTCAATACAAATCACATAAAGTATATCATCAACTATAACAGATTGCAATCTTTTTTGTCATGTTAAAGAAAAAAAAAGCAACCAAAACAATTAACTAATTTCGTGCGTCCGAAGCGCTTCTCTTGATTCCCTTCCTCGGGAACGCTCACACCAAAATATTTGAAAGCCCATGAAGTTTTAGACTCATAAAAAACTATATGACCAAAACGAACTAAAATAGCCGAATTGTCTAAATTCAACTTTGCCTAATGGCGTTGGAACCTTATTGTTGCTATTTTATGCGATTTTATCTGATGTAATAAGATAATTATGAATTTGCATTACTTTCCGACATCATTGTACAGAATTAGTAAGATTGTAGAAAGAAAACAATTTCAATCCAAATAAAACTAATCCAAATCGTTGCTTTAAGATATTTTCTGTAATAATGTAACAAAGATGTTCATAGGATTAACATATTTCTACTTACCATTATGCACGATTATCTTGACCTACACAAACGAAAACTTTTAATAGTGTTTTATCAAAAGCACATAGCCAAACAAAAACTTCGACCAGCGAAAATTGTCATTTATGCAAAATACTGTTATCGGACTGCAGATATACAGATAAGAAAATTTCTCAAGTTGTACTAGAAATCCCGTGTTTTCTTTGATACCCCAAATGTCAAAAGTCATCCTACGCCATTTTGTTTGTTTGAAAGACAAACATGACACGTGACATAGTAAGTTGCTCATTGATGAACTAAATACTTAAGTGTTTAACGCATTCCTGCCTAACTAGTAGGAAAAACTTTTGTTTTAATAAATTGACAAATCAGTTACAAATAAGTTTAAATTGTACAAATTCAACTAGAAACTAGTCATGAATGTTAAAAAAACATCCCCAAATCTATTCCTTCTACACCAGTACTAACCATACAATTGTCTTCTTTTTATGAATGAACAACAAACAAAATGAAGAAGGAAAAAGGATACGAATATTCATAGAACTTACGAAGTTTGTAGAAACACGTACAAATATTTGAGTGTTTGAGGGTCTGATATTTGGGGGAGGTCTTCATTTCTGTGTTCTCTACTTTTAGGCTATTTTTCTATATTCTGGATTTTTTTTCGTTATTTCTTATTCATTATGATTTAGCACTACATAATTATCTATTGTTATCTTTTTTAAATTCTTTTTTAAGAACACCCCATCCAGACCCTCATATATACATCTTTGCTGGTCATGTGTATATAACACAGCCACTCAACACATTCAAACAAAATATACTGAGTTTCATAATGTTTTATTTTTAAACATTATGTGTGGAGGACAAACAATCCACGAATTATTAGGTACCAAATAAAAAAATTCAAAAACAAAAATCAGAAAAATCCCGATAATTATGTTTAAAGAGGGATATTTTAAATATTAATAGCATAAGCACATAGATTTTCATAACAGATATATGCAATGTTTTTTTTCGATTCCACAAAGGTAACATAAAATTGAAAATTGTTTTTCATAGTAATTTACAACCAAAAATCAAAGTTAGATAAATGTTCTTAGTCAAATAATAACAGTGTGTTATTTAAGTCTTCTTTTTGCATTTTCATAATAATAATAAAAAAAAAGTTTTAAGTGAAACGCAACAAACAGACTATTTTATTTTGGACTCTCATTTTATTTTTTATGTAAACTCTTCTATTTTACTATTTTCTTTACTAGAGGGAGGTAATTTTCAAATGGTTACCTAGGTCAGCAAAATAATAAACAAATCAGACAATATAACATTACTGTAGAAATAATACAGTCTAAAGTAATGTGAATCAGTATCATAAAGCTTACGACTTTAAGTGCTCTTGGTAAAATCATATCAGGTCGGTATAAGATAATATAATTGAATATTGCTCTCCATTACCCGGCTGATTTTGAAATCATATACACATGTATTCTTTATCTAAGAAGCAGCATAGATTAGGCAATAGAATAACAATCATATAATAGATAGCACTCACTTATCCATAGATGACCATGTGGATTGCAGCACATTAAAACACGTAAGAAAAAAATATTTTTCATCAGATGAAAAATTAAAAGTGAAATAAACACTTTATAAATTTTGCGCCTCTGAAACGCCTCTGAAGCGCCTTTCTTACCTTCATTAGAAACGCTCAAACCAAAACATGTCAAAGCCAGGGAGGTTTACGTAAATACACAGCAAAGTTATGAGATAATAACTCGCTTTTTCAGAATCTAAATTGGTTCAATTGCCATTGTTTCGAACGTTTTTAAGCCAATCCCAAACGTTTTTGTGTACGCTTTTAAAAATATTACCCTGAATGCATTAGATTCTGAAAGGGCGAATTATGACCTAAAAGGACGTAAACAGAATAGCCAAATTTATGTAAGGGCAACTTTGCCTGAAGGAATCTTAGTTTCTTATTAATTTCTTAATTCATGAACAGGGAATTTAGATCAGTATATAAAATCGAGACAATCGACAAGGACATGACATACACTGTACATAGTAAAAACACTATGTGTGTTACGTGGAATTGCAAATACACATAAAGACAACCGACAGAATGTTCATTTAATATGAACAAATTCTGTTGTAATTTTCGCATTCTTAACAGAATGATTTTCCTTCCAAACATGTAGGAAATAGTAATCTCTATGTTGATTCAACGTAGAGGAACTTTTATTTAACACTGATGTTTGCAAGAGTAAAATCTACGCTATAATATTATGAAATAATGAGCACTTTTCGAGTTTTCTGCAGTTCTGTTAGCTTTCTGGATTGAATGGACGTCAATTTGTTTTGGACATTTGGACTTATTGAATCTTCATAATTGGTGTCATTTTGAATAAATATTGTATCATACAGCATATATACCTTTAAAAATTTATAATCATATAATGATTATGCAAATCAAATTCAAATTCAAATAAGCCATTCCTAGGTAACAGAATATCTGAATGACGCCATAAAAGCGCATATTTAAGGAGCAACAGAAACTCGAAAACTGCCTATCGCTTGGATCAATATTAACAAAATATAATAAATAAAATCAAACACGGAGAGTTCTGTTATTTTCGTTACTTAAATTTAATTGTGTTGTCACAATCAGTTTTCCCATATTATGAGCTGCCAAAGGCCAATATAAATATCCAATGTATTAACGAAATTTACTTCAGATACTGTAGGCAGCACTCGATAATCGAAAATGAAATGCTTGTAACAAGCTTGTTAAAAAATGGCCCCACAGATATTGGCAGAAGTTTACATCTTTAAGTGTTTCAAGTCTTCCTCCGGTTTCAATTCTGCCTTGTTGACATCTAAAATCAAAAAAATAATATTCCTCATAATTATTATCAAATCATAAAATTGGTTTAGAGTAATTGATTATCATTTTTAGAAAGAAAAAAATCTGTGTCACAACTTAAACGAACAATACATGATAGCAATGCCAAATTAAGATATACAAAAAGAATTAATATACAAGATTTATGCTATGTAATAATTTTACTACTGGTCATCGTCCCCTAAGTGTTGTCTGCTGATGACATTTGCCAATGTGATTTTTGTTGGTTAGTGACGGTGAATGTTTTTGTTTTATAATTTCTAGGTCTAACATTGCCCAAACAATTCTTCAATTCATTTTTGTTTTGTTTTAGTTTAGATATAGTAACTGACTTACTGTTTTCTCATACAGTATGGGGTTTTATCATTGTTTAAGGCCGTACGGTTGCCTATAACTGCTTACATCCACTTCATTTTAAGTTTGTTGGATAGTCGTCTCATTGGCAATCATACCACATCTCTTTATTTAATTGTATATTACTACCCTGCTAGAAATAAAATGTGGTATGAGTGCCAATGAGACAACTCTCCATCCAAGTCACAATGTGTAAAAAGTAAACAATTATAGGTCAAAGTACGGCCTTCAACACAGAGCCTTAGCTCACACCGAACAGCAAGCTATAAAGGGCCCCAAAATGACTAGTGTAAAAACAATTCAAACAGGAAAACCAACGGTCTAATCTATATAAAAACGAGAAACGAGAAACACTTAAGAACCACATCAACAAACGACAACCGCTGAAAAAGATTCCTGACTTAGGACAGGTACAAACAAATGCAGCGGGTTTAAACGTTTTAACAGGCACAAACCTTCACCTTAACCAGAAATAGTAGTGTAACATTACAACATAGAAAGACACACTATAAAATATCAATTAGTTATGTTTGTAAAGAAAAACAAAATAAAATATTTATTCTCAGACATACCTATGTCTTCTGTTTCTTCCTTCGAGTTTTCTGTTTTATTATCCTCGCCATTTTGTTTTTCTTCAGTACTTTCATTTGTGTCTGCACCTTTCATTTGTTGGTCTTCTGTTTCATTTGTCAACAAGTCAGCATAGTACGGCAATTCTCCTTGGACATCTGATGTCAGTCCCTCGATGATTTCGCTAGTGAATATGTCAACTGTCGAATCAAAAATATATATATGTATGAAGCAGGATATTTATTTCATATTTTTACTAAATTATAGAAAAAGCTGATACAAAGAGGATATATATTCAGTAACCTTTTCAAAAATGTCTTTGTTGAGAATACATTATACACTGATATCGTACTTTGAATATTTTAACATACTAATATGTATATTGTACTATGTATCTACAATAACATCAATGTTTACTTCTTGGTCATGTACATGTACCCTGGAGCTCAGAAACAATCTATTAATACAATATATTATACCACATTCTCTTATTTTCATATCATTACCTATACACCTTACAAAATTGAATAAAATGAATAATGGAGTACATGCCAATGAGACAGCAACACAACAACAACAATTAACCAAAAGAATCTAGAGGACAACCTACAATCTTCAACAAAAGACAGGTATCCCGTATCAAAGTTGTGAATAGTTTAAACAGAAACAATCAAAGATCTGCCATCAACAATGAACGCCAAATTCTATTTAAGCATCCCATTATACGTTATTCTTTATATTCTAGCACCAAATGTTTCCCTTTTCTTTATCTAATTGTTTTATTTTTTGTCCTTATTCTTTATTTACTTTATTTTTTTATGCTCATTGTTATCCATTGTGTAAACCTCAACCCAGCCCTCATATATTATACTGTGGTTCTGTTGCCTGCAGTCCATACAGTGCTTTCGTAGCCTACCTAATATATCTCTCATTTGTCCAAGATCATCAGGGTTGTCATCTTGTGAAACACTGTCCCAGATCTCACTCAACATGGTCTCAGCGTCTCTGTCTCCTGAAAGAATACGTCATAATTATTAAAAGGTCAGTTATTGAAAAGAATAAAAAGTCTGATATTGTGCATATGCATGTGTGTGTAACCGTGTGTATGTGTGCCTTTTATCAGATAACATTCAGAATTTACAACGAATCTATAGTGTCGCTCTCAGAAGATTGAAATGTGTTATGTCCAAATGAGTTTTAGGAAAAATGTTGGGTTTTTTAATAGTTCTGCAACCTTATAAAAGGTCGGACAATTGGTCATCTCTACAGATGTCGTTATAATTCATTATAATCTGATCATGTTTGTGTCACGTCAAATGCCAAGGAAAGGTCACGACAGTTTGCTATCTTGTATTAATGAACAATACCTGTCAATACAGTTCTAGTCAGCCATTCATCCATCAGTGTGTTAACAAGGTCACTGATTCCATTTCCTTCATCAACTTCAGGGAGCATATTTTGTGTGTCAGCACTTCCGTAAGGCAGTAATTCGTTGTAATAATTGTAAGCAGGTAGTACCTCGGTTGGAAGCATGTTGTCTGGTGATTCGTACCCAGTGTTGTATAAAGGAACCTACGAAAAATTAACAGTATCATAATTGAAAGTATGGATAGGGGTTATTCATGTTTACTTTCTTTAAATATAAAGGTAATTTTTCTCTATTCTTTATTTATATATCCCCATTTTTTATATTTAAGCACCCTTAATATTACCTACCCTTTATTTGTATTGCCTGTTTTTCTCAACGCTTTAATCTCTTTTGCTTTTTATTCTCTATTTTTGCCAATTATTTTCTATTGTGCAGACACTCATAATGTAGCAGTATTGATGCAGTGCGTCTTATAAAAACTAATGATCAGATATCTGATGTGCTCTAGAAAGATAATATTGAGACACTATTTCTGTGCTTCTAAAAATGATATCGTTTTCTAATAAAGCCAACATGCATGTGGATATGAGTTCGAAACCTGCTCGTGCCGAGGTTTGTACCACTCTTATCTTAATTGACAAGGACTTCCAGTTTCCCACCAAATGTCGTTGGTTCTATCCCTATATTCCGCCTTTCTCCACCAATCAAAACTCACCGTCATGATGTAGAGATGGCACTAAAAGTGGCGTTTAACTTCACCAAAAAGGCAAATAAACAAACAATCTCTATTTTTTTATAATACTATTTACCTCATTAGAATCAGAAAGCATTGATGTCTGGACAAGTTTGTTGTATACAGATCTAACGTTGTCTTTGTATTCAATGGCTTGTTTTTCTGTCATCTGAAAATAAATTTACTTTTAATAATCGTTCTCTGTTCCAAAATTTAGAAGGGCTCATATCATTTATTTTTTTCACAATTCTATTTGTTTTACCTTTAGAACAAGACATGTGAGCAAGCAGAAACCGGAAATTGAAAATGTATCCACAACGTGAGTTGTATGTGGCTAGCTATCGTAATGTCGGTTAACGGTTATATATATATGTATACTAAACCAAACCGTTACCGATTTTTTTTTTAATTGTCAAGTCACCAAGTATATCTAGTTCACAGGAAAATTCTTACTGAATAAAATTGAGAAATCAATTGTGATATTGCCAGAAAGTCCACAAATTTACGTAAAGCGACCTATTAAAATATTGATGAATCAAGCTCACAAATTTATAAAAAGCGCCCTATCAACACATAATTTGACATTGATAGTTCAAGCTGACGAAGTAGCATCTTAAGGGACGAAATATTTATAGATAGCCAACACGTAACATTTCCTTATATTACAAGCTCCCCAAGAATCAGTTCGCTAAGAGAAATATTGACTTAGATTATTTAACTTCGAATTTTATATTATCAACGGATGAAGATACTGTAACCGAAAAGATAAATCATTTCCATTATACTTCATCCAAACGCTGATTTCGAATCTTATATTAAAAAATGATAAATATTCATTTTACAGAAGAAATTTGGGCTATTTAGTCTATACGCCATCTAATTAACCATCGAGGTGACATCTGAAGACTGCCGACGGTCACATGCCCCGATATAAACATAAACATAGATATAAATAGATTGCGGACTCGTGCAATTGGATTTTCCTAGATCTGCTTGATTTCATATTATAGGTTAAAAAAATATGTTAATAATCGTTTTTACCTGTATGAGAATGAGTTTTTCTAAATCGAACCATGTCAACCGAATGGTTTACCCTTGTTTCACTTTCAGTGTTTACATTCTTTTCCATTTAATAACTGAACACGCCTAGTTCATGTGTAACCCATCTCTAGCTATAGGGATAAATTAAAGTTCACATGAATACGGATTCAATGAGGTCGAATTATTCATTTGAAAGTGAACAATTCATTAGCGATGTTTTTATGCTTAATTTGACAAAACTGAACCAAATTGGCTGTTAAAAGCGAATTATTATTTCACTATTTCACTTTCAATAATGATTGAACAAAACGAATCACATTTTTTTTGTTTATATCTCGTAGCTAATGCCCCTTTCAATTTAATGAAAACAATTATATGCAGTAAACTCATTAGAGAGAAAAGCTAATCAACAATATGGCTTAACAAACTGTGGAATAGGCTCCAATATTAATAATATTGTCCGTATATAGAATCCTTGTGGAATTACCATCTCAAATTTACTACAGGTTAAACGAAGCACGGTATCAAATTACATCGCAAACGATCCTTGAAGTCAGATATAGAATATTATTAAAGTATCAATATACAATCTATTCCCTTGCTTGAAGAGAGAATTATCAGTACATAAAGGGTATACTTAAAACTTTGCAGACATTTGACAAAGATATATTTTTTTGACAAATAAAACCATGTTCTTCCATATTCGGCATCTGTGAAAACGACACAGCCATACCGTGCTCGCAGCCAGTAATCACCATACTGGAAATACTAACCAATTTATTACACGACATTGGCTTTTCATGTAATACCGTATACCAAAGCTCTTATATCAATAAACGCTGATGTGGGTTATACGTCCATTAGACAGCAACCCGACGAAAACAATTACCCAAAGACATCTTCAACAATGGACAGGTGTTTATACATTAAGGCAACTCTAAATCATTCATAATTTATAAAAAAAAAGTTTAATAACATTTTAAGTTATTTTAGGATTTATTGCCTTGTTAAGTCACACTGTGTTTGTCTCATCTAACATTTGTTTGTTAATGTTTAACCCCATTTTCAGCGACCTTGGCTATATCATAGCGGCCGTTCGGAACTGTGGAGGAAGCCGGAGTACCCGGGGAGAACTAACGACCTTAGACAAAATTAAGCAATCATTGTCAATTCAGATCACAGGCGCTTGTCTCTGAAAAAAAATTCTATATACCTTACTTCATATAACACAAGGTACTTAACTCGCATTTTTGAAAAATGTCACCCGGTCCCGAACTTCCGTTATATTTCGATTTCTCGGTTGTCTATCCCACTAAGACTTGTTATGCCGTAAATTTGAATTGATTTATCTACACAATGGTGTATAAGACGCATACCTTTATTGTCGGAATCATTCGTAGCAGGCCTCCCCAAGTATGTCAACCGTAATTATTTCCCACAGCCGATTGGAAATATAAGACTCGCAGTGAATTATAAATTATAAAAACTATTTCCAAACAACCTGTTAGTTTTTGTCAGAATAGAAATTATCATCCAGATAGTAAATTTGTAAAATTTCTTGAAAAAAAAATCTAACAAGTGTTATTTGAGGTATTTCTAATTATGAGTTACGAGTTTCTTTTTAGACTCAAATTTTTCCATTCCATCAATGTCACTCAGACTCTCTTTGGCCTTTACATATAAAATGAGATGACTCCAAGAAACATTTTTTTTTGCAATAAATTTTGACCAACGGGAAACCAAGATACATGTATATATAAGAGAGGGGAAAGATACAAAAGGGACAATTATAATTAACCAATTACTGCGAGTCTTATATTTCCAATCGGCTGTGGGAAGACGAAATAATTACGGTTGACATACTTGGGAAGGCCTGCTACGAATGATTCCGACAACATAGGTAGACGTGTTATACACCATTGTGTAGATAAATCAATTTAGATTTACGGCATAACAAGTTTTAGTGGGGTAGACAACCGAGAAATCGAAATATAACAGAAGTTTGCAACCGGGTGACATTTAAAAAAAATGCGAGTTAATATCTTGTGTTATATTAAGGTATACATGTCAGTAATTGCTAGTAGTCCCTTGTTAATTTATGTATCATTGTCATTTTGCTTAGTTTCTTTTGCTACCTATTCTGACATCGGACTCGGACTTCTTTTAAACTGAGTTTTACTGTGAGTATTGCAGTGTGTTTGTTTATTCTGCATTAGCTAGAGGTATAGGGGAGGGTTGAGATCTCACAAAACATTTTAACCCCGCCGCATTTTTGCGATTGTCCCAAGTTAGGAGCCTCTGGCCTTTGTTAGTCGTGTATGTTTTTTTAAATTTTAATTCATTTATATGTTATGGAGTTTAGTGCGACGTTCATTTTCATTGAACTAGTACACATTTTTGTTTAGGGGCCAGATGAGGCCCTACCCCGGGTGCTGGATTTTCTCGCTTTGTTGAAGACCCATTGGCGGCCTTCGGCTGTTTTCTGCTATTTGGTCGAGTTGTTGCCTCTTTGACACATTCCCCGTTTCCATTCTCAACTTTATATAGAAATATTTTTTTTCAGAGACTAGTGCCTGTGATTCTGTGGGACCAAACACACCATACAACGAGCGGGATTCGAACTCACAACCTCAGAGTTGACAACAAAGACTAGTGCCTGTGATTCTGTGGGATCAAACACACCTCACAACGAGCGGGATTCGAACTCACAACCTCAGAGTTGACAACAAAGACTAGTGATTCCTGAAAATGAAGTACTAGTACCTAGCTGCCTCGTGCACTGAGGCCCCAAGTTTTACTTTCATGTTTAACCTATAACTTTATTTATTCATTTTAGGTTTGTGAGCTAATATATGTCAAGTAAAAATGTGTTTCTTGGTTACTGGTTACCCCGTCAGACATGACAACTACAATTAGATAAAACCACAAATTAAACAAGACGTTCCATATATAGATCTTAACTGTTGTATAAAAGCCGGAGCCAATCCTTCGATGTAATTATGTTAGAATAACTGAATGATAATTTTAACGGGAAAACGTCACGAGAGAATAAATCATTTTTTCTTGTTGCTAACTGAGCTAAATATGGTTACAGATTGTCGAATCCATTCATCATTTTGGTCGGAAATACGTTTTACAAATTTAATACTTTGAAAGTAATCTATCATGTATCCGGTTAATTCTGATCAGAAATCAAACTTCCATTCATAGACCGGATATAAAATTTACGACCTAAGGGAGAACTCCTTGAATGAAAAAGTAGGACATAATTGAACCAGAAAACGCAGTAGCATTTAATTAGAAGAACTTTGATTGGTCTTATTTAAAATTGTATAGTCAATAAAAGACAATACAACAACTTCAATTTCCGGAATGCTGAAATGAAACACTTTCTGATCAAGATTTAATTTCACAATCTAAAGGGAAATTAGATACATCCAATCCCAATGGCATTGTGGGTAAACTTCATTTAAATTGAAATTTGCTATGATAGGGTTATCATTGAATTTTGCGTTTATTGGTTAGAATAGATGCATGTTTAAATTTTATCTTAAATGAAGTGTGCTTTCAGATATGATGCAGAAAAAAAAATTAAAACCATATGTAATTGATTGTATGCAACAAATAATATAAATAAAAAATAAAGACGTCAATTTCTTTTTGTTTTGAAATTTTACATAAATGCAAATGTAGTTGACATTAAAATGCACACGTATTTACAATATGAGTTGACATTAGCAGGCACCGGTAGTCAACATAAGAGTTGACTTTACCAGGCGCAAGTAGCTAACATATGAGTTGACATTACCAGGCGCATGTAGCTAACATATGAGTTGACATTACCAGGCGCAAGTAGCTAACATATGAGTTGACAATACCAAGCGCATGTAGCTAACATATGAATTGACATTACCAGGCGCAGGTAGTTAACATATGAGTTGACATTACCAGGTGCATAAAGCTAGCATATGAATTGACATTACCAGGCGGATGTGGTTAACATTTGTGTTGACATCACTATGCATGTGTCATAGAATAGAAGTTCCTCTAAAAATGTTGGAAAATATATAATTCTTTTTTTATGGCTTTACAATCAGGGAAAAATCGGGTTTACTGCAAATATATTGTGATCTATTTTGACAATTATTCCTTATTTATAATACCTGTTGTTACATGGTAGGTTTAGTTTGTTTTTAGTACGCGCTAATTTATTTCACGATAATACGGTTTGGTTTAATTACAAATATGCACTGTATAGTGAACAATATTCCTGGAAAAACAAGATGTGATAGTGTTATTCATAAAAGAGGGGTTGTTCAAGTACCAGTCTGATGTTCAAGTACCAGTTTAATATTCAAGGACCAGTCTGATGTTCAAGTACCAGTCTGATCTTCAGGTACCAGTCTGGTATTACAATTACAGCTCTTTCTGGTGCATATCAAAACATCTTCCGATTTTTTTTTCTGGACTCAATGTTTTCTGTTTGATTAAAAATGTATGCTAAATTGAAACATCTTTATAAATGCATAAAAATATGATGCATCTTTTTGGGGACATCAAAACAGGAAAGTGGAAGGACATCTTGTTTACTTTAAGTGGTGCAAATTGGGGAAAACAGCACACAGAAAGTAGAAAAAGGTAGTTTTGACTTCAAGGTTTCATAATATTTTAATCCTCGTGGCTTGTTTCTCTTCTTCCATTAAATCGCAGTATCACATCACTACATACATGATATGTACATGAACATATGCTTCTATATAAGATTTTTCAAAATCTTTCTTTTTAAAGATCAGCTGTTTTGCATGTAAGCCTATTTAGCAGCCAAGGGAGAATTCAATTTCAAAACTGCAACATACACAAGATCAAGTTTATTTCTTTTGTTGTTGTTTTTAGAATCTGTCCTCAATATCCAGAAACATTGGTAGGTGATCACTAAGTATAACTAAAACAAATAAAATTATCAAAACACGCATGCTTTTCTACAAATAAACAAGTAAGAACTCGACAGAAAAAAAGATTAATACGAAAATACTTACAATAGATGCATTAACTAGATCCGACAAAGCTTGGTTTAGTTCTTGGAAATTGCCCGTTTGGTATAAGTATTTAGCAACTTCAACAGGAGTAAACTGAAATGCTTCGCTGTAGTCTTCTTTCTGAAATAACAAAATCCACATAAAAATGTTTACTGTATACTATTTTCAATTTCTCTTCTTACAAAACAAGTTACAAATGTATCACTCATACCCACATGAGTATTTTAGCTGTAAAAGGGGGCGGGGTTTGTTGTTACCATATGGGACGAATACCAAGCTAAAACTTGGTTAATTATTAAGAATAATATAAAGTACATGTAGCTCTCAAATTTAAGTTTTGTTCAATATTTGAGGTGTTTCTTAATTTGAGAACATCAACTGAAGTTTTGGTTTATAATAAATGGGGACGTTGTCGTAAAGTTTATAATAAATGGGGACGTTGTCGTATATCGATTTGACGTATGTTTACAAGTCAAACACTTATTTGTTTATGATTTTTGTTTAGTTAAGTTAGATGGGATGGGGGATGGTTTCCAAATTAAAATTGATAGATTTTTTTAATAATTTGCCAAAATCACTTATTTTTCAAAAATGAAATAAAAAGTATGGATCACAGGCTTTTTTTTTTACCTTACAGGTTGTGAAAAATTATCAGATGTTGTACAGATTTTGCATGGAAAACCTAATTTTGTGTGATTAAAAGATACAATGAAAACAACTAATTGATAAAATTCTAAGATAAAATATAGAAAGATAGCACTAATTTAAAATATTCTTTCAGGACTTCGAACGAATGCTTGACAGTTGTTATAAAGTTCATGGACATCAATGTACAGGAACCACAAAACGATGGCGAGACAACGTTGACAATCATAACAAAATTCATTAAATATTCTCAAAACAATACAGGACGAGCAACGCGAACTATACAAAAACAAGAATTGCAGTAAATTAAGATATTCATTGAAAAGGAAAGCCTACTAATGCAGTACCAGAATCGTATTCGTATCATATTTGAAACCAAATTTGACATCTTGACTTGAACAAAATAGCAATAAAAACACATGTACTTATTCAAGTTTATCATTTATTAACACCGTATACATTTGTAAAATGTCTCTTTAACTGCAAACTATCTGTCAATAATTATCCGTTTTATGACCTTTGCTTAACTACAGTCGTTTGATAAAAGTAATATCGTTCATTTACCTTATATCCTTACATTACCAGTGTTAGACATTAAAGAACTTCTATGCGTGTTTCTGCATTGATTAATTTCCGCTATGAAATTCGTTTATTCTTTGAAAATAATCTTAATTAATGTTTTTAATAGTGTAATTTGAAATAAATAAAAAGGCATTGCGGGAAAATGTCACATTATAGCTTACTTATTCCAGTATAGTGACTCTACGATAGAAAGCAATCTGATTTTAGTTTGAACAAGCATCGTTAATATATCTATTCATAGCACCAAGTAGAATTTTATTAATGGTGATGACGCATGAAGCTGATTCTAAAATCTCTCGACTCCTACGTATGCTGGCTTGATTTCCGCTACGGTTGTCAATTGTAATTTCAACTTCGATCGATGGACGGTTTCCGGAAACAGTTTCTGCCATTAGTTTTATATTTCTTAATTTAAAGTGCTTCTTTTGGTATCTAAATGGCACTTTGAAATCACTACTTCACGATTAAAAAACACATACTTGACAAACTTGGTATAATTTGTATTTTTTTGGTCTGACGCTTAACTTTCATGAATAAAATAGTTTGTACAAATAACTTAGTTTAGGGAAGTTTATTGACCAAAACGTGAATGTTCAATTAAAAATCTTGATATTTCAAATCAATTATTGACAAATTATTAGATATTAATTATAATTTACTTTTTGATACATTTCACCGTAACACCATATAAATTCTGTTTCTATTAAAGGATAGCGATTTAATACTGAAAGTTTTTCAATTACTATAGTGTCAAAAACATTTCCGCAGGTTTTGACCAATAGGTATCCTTTCTCTCTCAACTGCTTGACCACTGGCTATCAAATATGTCTCTCAACTTCTTGGCCACTTGCTATCCTGTCTCCCTCAACTACTTGACCACTATCTATCCTGTCTCTCTGAACTACTTGACCACTGGCTATCAAATATGTCTCTCTGCTACTTGACCACTGGGTATTCTGTCTCTCCCAACTACTTGACCGCTGGCTATCCTGTCTCTTTTAACTTCTTGACCACTGGCTATCCTTTCTCTCTCAACTTCTTGACCACTTGCTATCCCGTCTCTCTCGCCTACTTGATCACTGGCTATCCTGTCTCTCCCAACTACTTGAACACTGGCTATCAATTATGTCTCTCAACTACTTGACTGCTGGCTATCCTGTCTCTTTCAACTTCTTGACCACTGGCTATCCTTTCTTTCTCAACTTCTTGACCACTTGCTATCCTGTCTCTCTCGCCTACTTGATCACTGGCTATCATGTCTCTCCCAACTACTTGACCACTGGCTATCAAGTATGTCTCTCAACTACTCAATAGGGAAGTAATCTGATTACAACTCATTGAGTTGTGGAATATAACCAGTCTGTTATTTATTTGGGTGAGATAGTCAAAGTAATTGAAAAAAAACTTTTAAAAATACTAGTTTTTAATAGTTAAATTCGTGTTTTTTTCCTCTACCATTTAGCAAAATATTAAAACATTCTTGACTTTCTATTGTGTTTAAACTTTGAGTATTCCTGATGATAGTAAATCTAGAAAAGCGCTTCGAACGCAACTAATCTATACAGTGTTATTTTGGAACAGACAAATAAAAATAACTTGGACTCAATCTTTAGTTTATGATTTTTTCATTAGTCTCTTCTATTTTGTTTAAATATGCAACGCACAAAGTATTTATTTATTTTTCATTTACTGCTTCTGAATATGCCTGAAATATTTGTTACTGGACTTAAAGAACCATCCACCAAACAAACCTACGTCTGTTTTTAAGAAATCAATTATTCATAATACATGTTTGCCCTGTTTTCAACAGAACCTATATTACTCTAAAAATGATGACCATTTGGGTATCTGAATCGTCTTCATACTTAAAATATAAACATGGATTACCACCAAAAGATTTTCAAATTAACAAAATCTGTAATTCTGCAAATGAACATTGCGGTATGGGTTTTGCTCATTGTTGAAGGCTGTACGGTGACTTATAGTTGTTAATTTCTGTGTCATTTGGTCTCTTGTGGAGAGTTGTCTCATTGGCAATCATACCACATCTTCTTACTTTTATATTGTAACAAAATCGCGACTTCAACTATTTCCGTCCTGTTTGTGACAACTAAAGAACCAAAACAAAATATCATGCTGCTAACAATGCAAAAATTAAGAGATGTGATAAGATTGTCAATAAGGCAACTATCCACCGGAGACCAAATGAAGTAGAAGTTTTCAACAATGAGCAAAACTCATACCGCATAGCAGGCTATAAAAGGCCCTGACATGACAAATGTAATACAATTCAAACGAGAAAACTTACGGCTCGATTTGTGTACAAAACATTAAACGAAAAAAACATTATGTATTAAAAAACAAACAACAACCACTGAATTAGACTCCTAACTTGGGACAGGTACGTACAGAATGTGGCGGGGTTAAAAATGAAACATTTATTACGTTTTTATTTGGAGTAAATAAAAAAAAATGATTGCTTCCTTTCTGACCTTTGATGGAAACTGTGTCGAACAACAAACAGGTTTGATGCTATAGATATTTCCTGTTTTGGATCTATCGCCCATTAAATAGGTTAAATTCATTGTTTAACAAATGCAAAATTAGTAATTTATTTACAATTGCTATTTTCAGTCTTTACAGCTTCAAATTGAGTTTGAATAAAACAAGAAATCAATTAATTAATTCCTTTTGCTATTTTGATCTTCACACAAAAATCCAATAATGTTATCTCATATGTTTATCAATGCAACACCCACAAATGTTTGTAGTTTATGGGAAAAGTGCCATTATATGTTATATGAGGGTGTGGATGGTGGTTCACAGAATACAGAATAATGGGCAAAAAATATAAAGAATAGAGAAAAATGGAACAAAAAATAAAGAATAGTGAATAATGAAGTGCTAAAAAATAAAGAACAGAGAATAATGGACAAAAAATATAAATAATAGAGAAAAATGGTCTACAAAATTAAATAATACAAAAATGAAGGACCCCATCCAGACCCTCTTATATTGTATGAATTGACATTCCATTCACTGTATTGATTTCATGTTTAGTAAAATAAACATCATTGCGAATCTATCTGCATACCACTTGCCAGATACTCAATTTCGGAATCATGAATTTTACTCTAAAATTATATAATGTGAAGCAGCCAGGTTAGTTCTCTTGTCGAACTGTTTCTCGCCAATGAAGCCAAATGTAGAGTATTGACTCAACGATTAACGGGTTATATTTCCTGTTGATTTAAAGATGATATTTAGTCTAATAAGCATCGAAATTATTGACGGCCTTTAGCCATCCAAAATACTTGTAATCAAACTTTGATTATGTTTGTTAATTAAAATAACACATTGTTTTCTATGTACTACGCACCATTGCTCTGCACTGCAGCGAACCAGTACTTATACATGAATACGTACCAACAGGGGGAAACATTTCGTATTCAATTGTTAATTGTGTAATAATGAAATCAAATTTGGGTCTCCGGATATGAGTTTCAAGAAAGTCGTATATTTGATGCAATTTTTGATTGATGTCTCACTTAGTCTATCAATGGTATTCGTGAAAGGTTGAAGAAAACAAGACGTGATAAAAAAAAAACTTACTTCTAAAGGAACTCTTCCAAGGTTTTCTGGTTGTGTCTCTAAAAATGACTTTTCTATGTGTTCTGATGGAATTTTTATTTTTGTTTCCGTAATCACGTCGCCATCTTGTTTTGTATCTTGTTTGATGTCACTGACAAGGTCACCAGTGTCTGGATTTACAACTATAAAATAATTAAGGAATAACAGTAATGTGGTTGAAAAGTTACCGCCGTCAATTGGCGATTTGATGGTCGCAAATGCAGTTTTACTGGCGACGCTAAAAAACCCGATGGATTTGACGGTAGATTAGACTTTAGCCAATGAACGAAAAAATTTTGCATACAAATTCAGTGGCGGATCCAGAGGGGGGGGGGGGGGGGTTCCGGGGGTTGGAACCCCCCTTTTTTGACGATCAATGCATTTGAATGGGGACAAATAGTTAGAAACCCCCCCCCCCCTTTATTCTGGGTTGGGAACTCGGCTGGATCCGCCTCTGAAATTGCATTAGAAATAAGTAGTATAAAGAAATAAATATTCAACGTTCTTCTAATACTATTATTTACATGTATACATGTGACATTTCTCACATTTACTACCTATTTTAATATTTTTTCTCCATATTTTAACGTTGTAATTTTTTTAATATCGCAATTTTGCAGTATGAACCCCTACAAGGATTTCAAATTTTTGATATAGGTATTGTCACATATAGATCCACTTCGACCATTAGATTTATACCCGCTTTATTATAATAAAGTGTTTACATAATAATAATAAAGAAAAACAACAAAAAAACTGTTTTACTCCCCATTGAGTATGAATAATTAGACTTACAATCAGTGAGTAATTAGAAATTCAACATCCAGAGTGACGGATGTTTTACCCTTAAAGGAAGGAAGCATAATTTTAAAGTAACTGATTTGGAAAATAAAATCCAAAAAGGATGTTGAAAAATGAAATAGCTGTAATTTGAAACTGATATTTCCATACTTGTTTCCTTTGTAATCAAAAGTGAGGAAATTGGAAAGCTGTTGTCAATGTTAATTTGACTAATCCAGACACATTGGTCTTACTAGAGCATAATCACTTCAAAACATGGTAGAAAAGGAGAGTCTTGTTTTTTTTTTCACAAAACATTTCTAAACTTTTGTACATTTTGTTTAGATTGTCATCTTCAAACTTTATGTTTTATGATTATAAATTATCGATTATAAATAATGGCGGCATTTTTCAAAAAAATAAATAGTCTTTATCATAGCCACATATTATCTAGAAGGTTTCTCATTAGAATTCTGACAAAAGCACATATTTGTTTCACATTACATTTCTATACTTATATAATTGTAGTTTAGGTGTTTTCGACTGTCATCTACTACTTTATGGTGTTATGACTATACACAATTAAATCTAAAGTGATTTTCAATAATGACGCCATTTAAAAAAAAAACCGGATTTTATCATAGCCATGCACGTATTAGGTTTCTCATTAGAATTCTTGTAAAAACACACATTTGCATATAATTTATTTTACCTTTTTCCTCTGTTTGCGATTCACTGTTTTCTTTTCCATTTAAATTACTGTAGTGAAAAGATTTCTGTTTCTGCACACCAATGCTTTGTGATAATCTCTGGGCTAAAACGAAAGATTGATACTGATACCAAAATAGTTCCTTTAATGCCAATTTCTTTATAATTTGTTTTACCTATATACAAACAAGAAGATGTGGTATGATTGTCAATGAGACAACTCTCAACCATAGACCATATGACGTAGAAGTTTGAAAAAAAATGATATACAGCAGTAAACTACAACCACTGAATTACAGGATCCTGACTGGGGACAGACACATACAGAATGTGGCTGGCGGGGTTAAACACGGTTAATTCCAGGTCAGCACATCGAAAGAACAACGAACACTTATACTTGTCCATTTGTCTTCGCTGGTTATAGTTGTTTTATTGGCAAACTCCTTATTTTGAGATAGAATAAATTTGAGTACAAAACTTGCATACGAAAAGAACAGAAAAAAAATCAACTCGTGTTATTGATGATTTTATGATATATTTAACAAAGAGCTGTGACATTACTGAGTTTAATTTAAAAAATCACATAAGTAGCACCGAGCCACATAAAACCCCAAAACTAAAGACAACCAACATGACAGATACTTAAAGTAATTCAAAGCCGGAGTACATGCAGTAAGGCATTTTCGACTGTGGTTGATAAAAATAAAGGGAAGAAAAAAGAGACTCATTTGATTTCTGATACATGTATGAAGGAAAGGAGATGTGAGGTATAAGGCAATGAGACATTAACCCAACGACTCAAATAATCATCCTGTTACTTGTCTTTATATCTACAGCATGTAGATAACCCGTAGATGTAGATACAAAGACGACAGAATTCATTATTTTAACTTCTCCAATATACACAACGAAACAACATTGATCATTATAAAACAATTTTTGACTTCTATTGTGAAATTTCCTTCACGTCTAGTGGAATGCACTTGTTGCACCGTTAAAAATACCATTGATATTTCATTTTCTGATCGTAAACTACTGTGTGGTTGTACTCTTATCACTACACAATAACGAATTTCTGTTGTCCATAGATACATGCATTTAATCGAGAGATTTTATTGATCTCAAGAGCTTGATTTCCCGTTCACTTTGCGTGAATTGTTTCGTTTTTTTTTTTTTGTTGCTGTTGTTTTTTATTATTATTATTGAGTTCGAAGAAAAGATAGTCTTCCTATCTCCTCATTCAAGGGAGTGGGGTGTATCATCTGGTTGTAAGGTATTTTGATCTGTTATTAGACGGTAATCTTTTAGTTGTATTTTTAAACGCAGTGTAAATTTTTTTTTTTATAATGAATTTTATTTATTGAAACAAATAGGCAGGCACAACTTGTATGAACAAAGGTATACAGAATGGCATATTCACAGAAAGAAAATTTAAATCAAAACAACAATGGAATATATGATTGTATAACATTAGATCAAACATAATGGTTTTCTAATAACCAAAGAGAGAATCTGTTTTCATTCGGTGTTAAATGATGTAATTTCTCAAACACCTGCTGATCTGAACATCAAAAGACTAAAAATAATACCATTCACGTATTTTTGACAGCAAAAAAAGACATTCACCTTATATAATTACGTAGAAACATATATAATACTTTTTTCTATATTTGAATATACAGGAAATTGTTTGTCCATATTTTTTCACTAATCACGTCAATAGAGAATTCACTGCTTTATTTTAACAGACGAACTTGTGTAGTCTTTACTAATTGAATAGTGATAAGGCCAGTGACGTACATCTCCGTCATTTTCAGAATGTCAGTTTGTTATGTTGATTTTGTTTACATCATATTCCCTGCTTATTGAGATTGAACTGGAATACGCATTCAGCGTGTACGTTCTGCGTACATAACGTCAACATCTCAATTACCAATTATATGCTTACGTGATCGGAAACAACAACCATACACTATATAAGAATAATTGTATATATACTTGTATTGTATTTATGGGGAAGACTTCATAAGTATGATTTGCTTATGTCTCATCCATTTTGCTGATATTTAGAAAATAAAATATGTTGAAACTAAAATAAGAATTAAGTACTGTAAATTCAGAAATTATTGCGATGTTTTTATTATTGCGAAAAATGCGACTGGGTTATAATCGCAATAATTTAAACTCGCATTTTGAAATGTTTTATATGAATTAAACAGGATTTTTGTCAATATCACAAAAATTAAAATCGCATTTTAAACTAAAATGACAAAATCGCAATAATAAATGAACGCAATAATTTCTGAATTTACAGTATTGGTATCATAAAAATAATATGAAAACAAGGAAAGGGGAATACAAAAATTAAAAAATCAAAGACAAACAGGGACAGAAATCGTCATAAAAACACGTAAAGTTACATTTACAAACAATAGTTGACGGATCATTACACAGAGAGAAAAATATAATACACACGCAACACGAACACCCTAAAAACCGTGGTTGACCTCCTGTGCTGAGAAGGTAAAAAAGTTTCTGTTCCAATAGTGGCAACCGATATTCTGGTCTTACAAAACATGATGGCGTTAATGAAACTTTCGAAGCTTACCATGGAATAACCTATTTATACTAGTTTAAGTGATTATAACTATCTCTGGTTAACCATGCAACGAAGAAAATATTCTACTCGTAATCCAAAGATTACAAAAAGAAGATAACAACAAAAGTTATAACGCATGATATCGATTAGCTTAGCATAAGACTTTTTTTCCGGAATAAAGCCTATAGATTGCCACCATGATGCAGACACGATTTTAGTATTGTCCACATGATGTAGACATGATTTTAGTATTGTCCACATGATGTAGACATGATTTTAGTATTGTCCACATGATGTAGACATGATTTTAGTATTGTCCACATGATGTAGACATGATTTTAGTATTGTCCACATGATGTAGACATGATTTTAGTATATTGCTCACATGATGCAGACATGATTGTAGTATTGCCAACATGATGCACATGATTTCAGTATTACCAACATGATGCAGACGTGATTTTAGTATTGTCCACATGATGCAGAAAGGATTTTAGTAACCTGTCCTTGAATCCCCGATTAGTAAAATGGCCAATACGTTCTCCATTGTTGGACCATAATAACTTAACGACAGCTTACAGACTATTGTTGTTTAGATTTAACCGTTCGGAGGATGTTAACCCGGAAATTAACGCTTATTGAATTATTCAACTTATTTTCTTTCGGGAAGCCTCTGTTTTTATTAGATTTTTTATCGTCAATTTATCTCTAAAAGTAATTTGCACTGGGAAGGAAATTGAAACTACTCTTTCTTCCCGCAGCGTTAGAAGATATTTATCATCGATTTTTCTACGTTTCTATTGGTTGTCATATTCAGTACTTCAATGTGAGGTCGTGATTGTTTTTTCAAAATATTTTTGTGTCAATTTGAATTTTTAGATCTACCAGTCAGCCAGTATAAAAACAAACACAAAGATAAACCCAATATCACCTCTATAGGCATATAGTTTGACGCTCATATGACTAAAATATAAATCTTATTTTTTCTAGATTTAATTTACTTAAATATTATTGTTTTTGTCTCTTACGATACAAATCTAACAGAAAGCGGACATAAAACAAAGAGAGAGAGAGAGAAAAAAAAAAACATTATCTTTGTCCTAAGTTTTAGAGTAGAATTTAAGCCACATATCATTATATTACACAAGTTTAAACTGTTCCACAATTACGATGCATGGGGATTCGCAAAACAAAAATTTCTTTGAATAAAGAGATTTTTATATACGTCAAGAAACACCAACCTAGCGACCCAAGAAAACCAAAAGACCAATTCGCCAATGTTAAATACAAGTATGTCAAAAAGTTTTTTATTGTGTATGAACGCACAATTGTCTGCAGCCCGAAACCAGTAATGACAGAAGAACAGAAGATTAAAAAAAGAAAGAAATTTAAAAGCTTATAAAAAAATAAAGTTGAGAAATACTAAACGAGGAGACCTGGTTTTGTGTGCCGCTTCTCCGTCTTTCAGATCAAATCACACAGTATGACTCTCTACTCTAAAGGAATTATGCAAACTGTATAACCTGCGTTAACGGATGCTATTTTGGAATAAATGTTTAGCGGATGACATTTTGGTCAATCATCTGATAGCAGATGTAAATCTATTACAATAAGTAAGGGTCTGGTTGAGGGTCCCATATGTAAACCTATTACAATAAGTAAGGGTCTGGTTGAGGGTCCCTCTTATTTATACTTTATTTATTTTGCCCTTTCTTCTCTATTCTGTATATTTTAGCAACCCTTTGTTTTGTTTTCTTTTATTGTATTGCCTATTTTCTCTGTTGTTTAATTTTTTGGCCTATTTTCTCAGCCTTTTATTCTGCTCTTTTTGTCCTTTATTCTCTATTCTGTAAACCCCGCCCAGACCCTCATAAGCTGATCCTTTCATTATCATCAATCCAAGTTAACAACACAAAACATACTGCCGACTATTGTAGTTACCATTAGGTACTAACCCCATTAGAACACCGATAGTGTGAAGAACTGTGATGTTAATACTACTATAACCATTATATCTATGGTACTACCATGTTGTCATAAGTAAGATGTTGTCAACACAACATAATTGTGCTATAAACTTGGTTTTGCTAATTGTTGAAGGCCGTTCGGTGACCTATACATGTAGTTGTTAACTTCTACGTCATTTGTTCTCTGGGGGAGAGGTGACTCATTTGCAATCATACCAAATCTTCTTATTTTTATATTGTGATACATTAAATGAAAAACATCCACAATAACTCCTACATGGTTCGTCTTAAATTCAGCATTAATTATAAATTGGAAATTTGATAAGTGTATCGTGGGCTGGAGCACTGTATTGTACGTTTAATGATAGACATCTACAAGAACTCCTACAATGTAACAAATTGCTCTTCTTAAATTCCTTATGAAATATAAATTGTGAATTTCATGATTGTATCGTGGGCCGAAACCTTTATTGTTCATTTAATGAGAAACATCTACAAAAACTCCTACACTATAACAAATTGTTCTTCTTTAATTCATTA